CAGTTTGAGGTTGGACAGCAAGTCCTGCTGAGCACCAAGAACTTCACGTTCCGGGCACCCAACACGAAAGGCCTTGGCAAGTTCATGCCACGCTACATCGGCCCCTTCCCCATCACTGCCAAGGTGGGCGAAGCCGCGGTTCGACTACAGCTCCCGGCGCACTTGCGCATGCACGACGTATTCCACGTCTCTAAACTCAAAGCCTACAAGGCTGGCAGCAACGCGCCACCCCCACCTGCGATTCCCGCAGCTGAGGGCGAACCCTTGTGGTACGTGGACGAGATCCACGCCCACCGGCAGTCTCGCAGCAGGCGCCGCATCACCACGGAGTACCTCGTCAGGTGGCACAAACTGGGCCCCGAGTACGACTCCTGGGAGTCCGCAAAGGACTGCAACCAAGGATGCCCAGAGGCAATCCGCGCTTACCATGGAAAACTGTACGCAAAAGGCGTACCGCTACCCTAATTATCCACCTCACTCAAGGCGCCCCGAGGACGGGTTCGCATTCAAGAGGGGGGGAATGTAACGCCGCTAAGGCGGCCCTTGGCTCACCGGGCCAACGGTATCGTACCAACGGTACATCCAAGAACTATTCATAATCTTCCAATACCAAACGGTATTTATCAATACCACCTTTTATCGTTGGATAATTTCCTTTTTCGCAACTGCTTGCCAACTGCAAGCTTTGTTACAGGGAGGGTCTTGGCGGGAGCGAGTTCTGCTTCTTACGGTAGCGTATATCCTGATGTTGTACATTCGTTCGTTCCCTCTGTTGCTGCTATGTGCGTTAGTTTGGCATAATGACGGCGTTAGTTTGGCATAATGACGCCGCTGCCAACAATATTCCAGCGGTGATGTTTTCACAAGCCAAGAAACGATAAACAAGCAAAACAAGAGTATATACGTTGTCGTACACAATTAATTAGTGCAGCACCAGCGATTCCATAGCTCTTGATGGGTGCTGATGTAGCGCTTCGTTACGAAGGTAAATGCAGTTGTGCTCATGCCGCCTGTCGCCCTTTAAAAGTATGGATCGGCGACATCAGTGCCCCCGGACTGTGCAAAGCCAAGCAACCTATGACAGAGTGGTGCCTTACCCTACGTCATGCACCGACAACGAAAACTAGCATGCTCAGAAAGAAATTAAACCCAGCGATAATCATGAAATCCCTTGACTAGCAAAACTCGAAGTAAAACACTGTCCAACTCAGTAACCAGATGCGCCTCCTCCACACCCTACAACGTCCTATCTGCCGTTGCAGGCCCCCCTTCCATGCTCCCCCCTTCCCCGCGCGCGGTCACACAACGTCGCGCTCCACCGAGCTACCGGCAGCTTCCTCACAACCATCTCTACACGTCAGACCCTCTTCTCCCCAACCCTTCATCACCATCCAACACCGCAATTCCCAAATGCTCACAGCGCCCACCGCCGCACACTCCCCCCCTTCCCCCAAAGTCCTCTACCTTCCCCCCCCCCCGGGCCCCCCTCCAAGCCTCCACTTCCCCATCACGCAGCGGCGACTGCCTGTCGCTCGGGAGCCTCTGCTCCCCTATCCGCATCAGAACCAGATCCGGGTCCAGATTCTGAGGCCTTGGCCTTGGCGGCCGCCGCCCGCCGCCGTGCCACCTCGAGGTGCACCAGCAACGCGGACACATCCGCGGGGCTGACGCCGCCGATGCGAGACGCCTGGCCAATATCGCGAGGCCGGATCTGCAGCGGCAAAACCACCAGTAACAACAACATTTCAGAACCCTCCTCTCGAATCTCTCCCTCTATCGCAGGTCCTTCCGGAAGTCATCCTGACGCACCTTGTTGAGCTTCTCCCTCGCTTCCAATGACAGAGTGGATATGGCGCTGTAGTCCAGGTCGGGAGGCAACGGCTTGGAGGACTTGGAGGAGAACGCCGCCAGCTGCTTCTCCTGTGGGGAGCGCAGCAGCAGTCGCGAAAGAGCGACAACGACACCGCAGTTTTCGACAACAGCAGCGGAAACGCAAAGGGAGCAAAGCCGCGCTCGCAGCATGTATAGGGATGTGCGCGTACTTCTCATCAGCCACACACCCTAAGACCCCCTGGGAAAAGAGAGCTAACGAAGGGGGCAGGAGGGTTACCACATGTGCACAGGGAACCCCACTTCACGCATTCAGAATAAAACCCCAGAGTGAACCTTGACATCAAAGCAGGATAGACCCCACACATCTCCGCTATGCAGATATGCACGGGGTCTCCCACCCGCGAGCACCTCTCCCTCTCACCTGCCGCGCAATGAAGCCCGCATACTTGATGTCAATCTCCACCGCCTCACGCTCCGCAAAGCTCAGCTCCGACCCTCCATCCAAGCCGTGGCGCTCGAGAATGGAGTAGTGCACGTGAGGCCGTCTCAGCAGCTCCTCCAAGGTGAGGCTGGAGGGCACTGCGTGACCGGACAGGGCGGCGGCGGCGAGCGCGGCTTCGCTGTCAGCGCGGATGCGGCAGGCGGCCAGGCGGGCCTTCTCCGCCTCGATGCGGGCCTGCTTGTCGCGGAACAAGCGCCACCTGCAAGAAGGATCATAAACCACATAAGCGCAAGGTGAGAGGAAAGGAGAGGTACGAGGGGCGAGGGAGACAGGGTACAGTATATTCCCCAGGTATCTCCCCCAGGATTTGCAGAACTCCACCCGGGAGCGGGACATGGACGGGGTGCTGCGGAGGGAGATAAGATGAGACGGAAGTTGCCGTGAAAGGAAGTACGTTGCCTTGCGCTCCGTACAGCCGCGGCCGGGGGAACCTGGAGTCATCCCGGCGGGAGACCATGGAGCACCCGGTCTTTCGGCCCGGGGGGCATGAGGAGCGGATCGCACAGCCCCACTTATAATCAACCCGTTAATCAGCCCGGGTTCCGTCAGTCAGCTAGCTCGTCCAAGAGGCCCAGCAGTCCCACCTGCGATCGTCAATGAGTCCAATCTCGCGGCCGAGCTGGGTCAGTCGCCGGTCTGCATTGTCGGAGCGGAGCAGCAGCCGGTACTCGGATCTGCACACCAGTCGGGTGTACAAGGAAGAAAACGCGCGTCCGGGTTCAAGTCCTGGTAGGAACAGTTTGACAACTTGGTCTCAAGTGCTCTATGTGTGGTGCAGTGCTGTGGGAACGAGGAGGGGGGAGAGAGGAGTTTTGATGCTGGGTAAACAACGGGACGGGCTGCGAGGTCATCCACGAAACGAGGGATCGCATCGAAGTGGGAGAGGTACGTAACGTAATGCCACAGGTGGGGGCATGCCATGCGAGCTTGTGGAGGCGCGCCAAGCATTCCCGTTTGTAACGTCCAGGAGCGAGTCTCCGACCAACCGAATGTTTTCCAGAACCCTTTACCTCATTCCCTCCCCGATCCCATCAACCCATCAGCTGCACGGGGTCGGTTCTTGTCAGCACCGGCTCTCCTTTCTCATTCTCTACCTCTACACAACTACCGCTACCCGGGGAGGTTTCAACCTCATGCGCACATACCCGCCTACGTGGCCACATGCAACGGCATTTAGGCATGCACATGTGTTTTGTACGGTAGCCGGTTACCTGCTAGTTAGCATTCTGTACGGCTCCCGAAGGTCCTTCGTCACCAGGTCGTCGATCAGGGTGCCCAGATAGGACGAGTCGCGGGGCAGGGTCACGGGGGGACGGCCCAGCGCCCGCATTGCGGCGTTGACTCCCGCCACCAGCCCTTGCGAGGCAGCCTCCTCGTAGCCTACGGGTACGTGCGGACGGGGGGAGGGGAATCAGATGCACAAGGCGCAACAGAACGAGCTGCAAGGAGGGGAAGGAAGCACCAAGAAGGCAAAGGAGAACCGCCGGTACTCAGACCCACCCCAAACGGAGGTGGGGAGAACGGCACGCGAGAGTGTGTATGGTCCGTGTGATATCCCCCGGGGTGCCCCGGGGGTTAGTTCGGGTGGCAACACCGTTGTGTTGAACTGCAAGGAAACGGAAAAGCCACCCCAGGAGCAGCGGCCACCACCCACCACCACCACCCGCTGGAACCAGCCCCTGCCAGCAGCTTTTTCAGCCCCATCACCACCACCACCACCAATCACCCCCATATTTCCGTCACACTTCTATTCCCCTCCCAACCTTCAACCTCCAAGGAAGTCCCTAAAACGTATCCCTAAACCAACAGCGCAGCGCACGGCTCGCTATGGGACTCCCGGAGAGAGACCGACCGACCCGTGGTTCCGTTCAGTTGGCCGCTGAAGAACAGCCCCTGGACTTTCTTTGTCTCCAGGGTGGGGTGGCACTGGTGGGCGGGCAGGTAGTCGTACTCCACTGCGTAGGCCGGCCTCAGCATCTTGACTCGCTCCAGGCCGGGCAGGGTTTGCAGCAGCGCCAGCTGGAGGCGCTCCGGCAGCCCCGTGCTGAAGCCCTGAGGGGGGGCAGGTGGAGGTGGAGATGGAGGTGCAGGTGGAGGTGCAGGTGGAGGTGCAGGTGGAGGAAAAGGATGATAGAGGCGATAATAGATTCATGACACGGCCCAAACCGGATGTATGTAGCTACGCAGCCACGCACAGCGAGGTTGCACAAACCTTCTCAGATCCATTTCATACACCACACCATGGGGTTATGCAAGGCACGCACACAACACGTGCAGGTGGGGGACACGTCCAACGCGGCACTCTAAACGCCCGGACGCTACAACCCGGGCGGCGGGCGGGCGCCCCCCCCCCGGCGCAAAGCCGCACCTGCACGTACATCTCCGGGGTGTGCCGCCCCTCGGTTCCAG